ACAGACCATGAGACGGCGAACGAGAAAGGCGTAGAGAGGGGCGCCCTAAGACGAAATAAGGCGGCAGGGCAGGGGACCAGGGGTGGGTGGAGGACCACCGGAGCCGAAGTGGATAGCGCTGGTGCTGTCGCTGGGGAGCCTAGGTATTCATTTCTCAGCATCTATCCCATCCAATCCATCCCCATCGTCCCTCTGGCGCTGTCTGTCTCAAGTGCAGACCGACCGACCATCCCCGGGAGCCCCAGCAGGAGTTCCACTGCATGGCAGCATGCACGCCTGGCTGTTGCTGTTGCTGGTGCTGGTGCTGGTGCTTTCTCGATGGACAATGGAGGTGCGGGCCCATGTCGGAATTTGCCAGGTCAAGGCCAGGCACATGAACCTTCCACCTCGCCTCGAGAGTCTGTTTTGCTCTGCCGCCCGGCAAGCGAATGCCAACGTCTGATGGTTGGATGATTGGGAGATGAGGGACACGCGGAAAGGTGTGTGTGTATATGTGTGTGAGAATGAGTGTCAGTCGCGTCTGCATCTGCACCTCGCTGTCGTACAGGCAGGCATTGGTGCCGGTGCTGGTGCTGGGCGCCGCAACGACCTGCAGTCTGTCGCTGCTTGTCTTGCTGTTCCTGCTGGCGGCAGGCCGAGGAAGACCAGGGTAGGACAAGGGGGTCTGCAATTGTCGGTGGAGGAACCAGGGAGGCAGGAAATCGCAGATGTGTGCCAGTGGGGTTTGCTTGTGTCCAGTCCACAATTGGTACCGTGAGGACGCACTCTGTTGACGAGACAAGCTTGTCAGCGAAAGGCCCAAAGAGCAAATCCCGGTTGCTCCGTGGTGATGCAATGCAATCTTCAGTTCGCCAGCCCAATTCGGCTCGATGTGAAGACATGACGAGTTTTAGGGGGGGCACCATCTGACTCGGTGCCGACCGGTCGGTCGCATCAAGCTTGGAAGAGGGTCGTGGGATGTTGGAAACTCTTTGTCAACACCCGAGTAGCGCATCTCCGCCGTACCAATGCCTGAATGTGGGTGAGGCTCGTCTCCGAGGAGCAGCGCAAACCAGCACGCGATGAATGGCATTTCGTGTTACTCCCCCGCCATGGGCACCCGCGTCTTCCCCAGCGAGCTTCCCAAAATCGCCCCCCCCAGTCGGTCGAATGCTAGAGCCGACCTAAAGCCTGAAGAGACGACGTGTGAGACGAACCATCAGCGGCGCAAGCGTGACGCAATAGGCCCCGGTGTGCTGCTGAGGCTACGGGACGCAAGGCTTCTGAGGAGGGAGTGGATAGGATCGCTATCGCTGGCAGCGATGCTATGCCGCAAGCCATGCACGCGGTTTCTGTATCCTTTACTCGTCGAAATGCACGGACCGGACTTCTTTCGGCCTCGGTATCGATGGGAGCCGCCCTATGACGGACCATTCGCAAGCCGTCGGCGGTAGGGCAATGGCATTTGAGATAGATGTGTAAGCGGGGGATGAGGTGTGAGCACAGATGCGGGCCCCAGAGGCCCCGAGGGAGCTCGTGACTCATTTGAGTAAATCGATCTGGCGCAAGGCTTTCTTCGATTTTGAGCGGCATACCTAATGAGTGATTGGGAAGAGGAGTTTGGGGTCGGTCGCTCGATGTCCCATTGCGACAAGAATGGTGTGTGGACATGTTTCTGCACTGTAATAGCGAGCATGCGCTCTGGCTGCAACCCCAATCCCCCACCCCCTCTTCCGATGCAGGGTTCTATGGTCACAGGGATGGGAATCCCAGCAGCGTCGACCTGATAGGTAAGCACATTCTGCTATCCAAAACCCGCCGTCCCAGCAGAGCTCGAAAGCCAAGCAATGGCACTACACTGCAATCATGAAGAGTACGTAGGTTCCGAGGTGACGGATTTGTTGCTTGTCGCGGATTTCAAGGCGGCGTCTGGCTCTGAACTCGCTTTCGCTCAACTGTCGACAACCCGTGGACGATGGATCCTACAGCCATATCATGGTCAAGGGGGAAGGTGCAGGTTGTGTTGCCGATGGGGAAACTCATGGGGAGGGAAAAGGGGGGGTGGCTCGAATCCTCGACACCCAGTCATCGAGGGCGCTCTAATTGCCGCGAAGGGCAAGCCAGCACTGAGATGCGTCCAGGATGAGGTAGCTCCGAGGCTCGTTTCCAGACGATGGATGTTGCCGTCCACATGCTTGTATTTCCCTTCCGGCGGGGTCCGACCCAGTCGGAACAGGACTTTGGTGTTTCTGGTTGGGCGAAAGGACGCCGGGGGCAAGAGGTCAAGACAGACTCACAGGGCAGTGTGAGCACGACCACAAAGACCTAGAGGCCAGGCACCAGGGTTCGGCCATTTTGGCTTCTGTTCTTCTGCAGGGAAGATCGGGAAGGTCTTGGCACCCCAATTCTGACGGGTCTTGGCAACGTGTTCTTGGCACACGTAATTCGTCTGCCGCCCGATGCCAAGACTTTCACGATCCAACCCCGCCGTTCCTGGTCGGTGCTTTGCCCGTTCAGTCGACTTGGCGGAATGTTTTTGATTGATCCAGGGTCCAACGTGCTTGCAAAGATGGCCGGCCTTCTGGAGAACGGGAAGCTGTCGAGAAGAGGTGGGCAGAGGCCATCTGGCCTGAAGGAGAGGCGGGTGACCTGGCAATCTGACCACACCCTAGTAGACTCCTCGTTAATTCCGCTAAGTCCTCATGCCAATTGGACACTTGTACCCAAGTACCCAAGTAGGCAGGACGTACCTAGGTACAAAGCTCCATCGCGCAATCGTCCGCCCCTGATGAAAGGGGACAGGCGCCCTTGGACAAAGGGGGGGTGGGGGGGGGGGAGAGCAAGTAGGAGCCCTTGATTTGTGGCACAGAGCTGGCCTCCATCCCTGATGGTGTGCCTGGCTTGCGTCCGTTTGTGCAAGTAATAGAAAAAGCCGCGGGTGGTTGACCAGGGCACAGGGGGAAGGACGAAGACGGCAGCAGCAGGCGCGCCCGTGAGCATGATTAGTCCGAGACTGTGACAGCAAAGGCAGGAGCGAGCTGTAGTGGATGAGGGCGCACATCACGCCCAACCGCGTACTTGCCAGGGCTGTTTGTTTTGCCCACGCGGTCTCCAGCCATCCATCTCCAAAACCGGATCGCACTCGCCAGATGCACCGTTCGGGACCCAGCGAAACATGGACCCAGTAACCGAGTAGAATTTTGCGCTTATCATGTGCAGTCTATTGCGACCCGTTGCTTCTAGCGGATGGAGAGAAAACTGGGACATCAGGCGAGTGGGAGCAAATCGCATCTCATTCTGCTTTCGCACTTTCCCTTTCGGTGCTGCGCACGCCCACTGTCAAGCCAGCTTTTGCCACTCCTCGGATCCGAGTCGGTCGAGTTCTCTTGCTGCCCACTGACAGGGCTGACTGAGCCCTTTCGTTTAGAAGCATGGGCTAGTCGCCAAACACGACGCTCCGTTATACGAATACACGCATCTCAGAGCGCGCGACGAAGAGCACAGACTCCCTTGTGGTTGCTGCGAAACTGCCTGTTGGCCTACCCCGCAAGATCTACCTGCCTGACGTTTCCAGCTCACGACCTGAGCAACTGAACGGCCTCAAGCTGGAGGTCCGACGTCGACCTGTAATCTCTGAGACAAATCCTCCCCCACGCATCCATTTCAACTGCGGCACCTAGAGGCGGAGGACACAACCCACCCACACCCTAGGTAGAGTCCTGATACACTTTCCTCCCCTTTTCCCCCATACGCATTCAAGGCACCTCCACCTAGGTAAGGTAGGTACTCACGATTTCGCCTCTCCACGAACCACATCCTACCTAGGCGACACCCGAACAGCCTTTTCTGCCAGCATCTCACTTGCAGGCAGACCGGCCCCAGTCACCAACCCTTGCCCGGCTTGCTGTGTCTGAGAAGAGAAAGCCCACCCCCAATCGACACCAATTTGTAACTGGGCCAATTCAAGCTTGGCTTCGTTTGTTGACAAGCTTTTACCCAATCTGGAACCCCGGAGACCACTGCTTCTTCCGACATCGACCATCATGGCAGCGGCGACGGATGAACCGGGCCTCACGGCTTTCTTCCATGAGATGAGCGAACTGGGTGGTATCATTGTCAAAGGTAAGCAGCTAATACCACCCAGCTCAATCCCGGCAAACAGAATGCCGAAACAAGAGGCGATGCACGCGCCTGCCTGTGCACTACCCCACGTCGACGCTAACGTCATCTCATAGAGACTCCCAAGCTTGACCTGGATCTGTACATCCAGAACTACAGAGGTGAGCTGCTTGCAATGGCCGTTGAGTACTCTTCTGACCTGTGTTAGGCCGCACTCGCTTGGATCGCCTACTGACCATCGGTCGTTGCTGCGTACCACTCTGCGTCGAGGCCTTGAAAGCTGCCGTGGCTGAGGCTAAATCTGGCAGGGACGTTGAGCGGTATCGCGAGATTTGGGAATGCATCAGGGTTGCTGCGCCGGCCGAACCTGAGGCTGTCTTTGACCAAGCCTGGGCCGACAAGACGACCATGGAGAACCGCCAGCAAACTCACCATCTCGAGACGCAACTCAAGGGATACAAGAACAACCTCATCAAGGAGAGCATTCGAGTATGTGCTCAGATGAAACAGGCATAATACCACGTGATTGCTGACCTTGAGCACAAGATTGGTAACGAGGAGCTGGGTCGCCACTATGAGAACATAGGTGACCTCAACGCGGCCAGCGATGCATACACCCGCATGCGTCCTGATGTCAGCACATCGAAGCATATCATCGATCTGGGCAAGCATCTCGTCGACCTTGCCGTCATGCGCCGTGACTGGTCCATGGTTCTCGGCAACCTCACCAAGATCACCGGCATGCAGAGCGAAGAGGAGAAGAGTCTCCAGACATATGCCAAGATTGTTCAAGGCATTGCACTGATGAACATGGAAAAGTTCAGTGACGCTGCTCGTTCCTTCCTCCAAATCGACATTGGGAAAGAAGTCAAGGACGGCGTCGAGTCCAACAACATTGCTAGCCCCAACGATGTTGCTGTCTATGGTGGTCTTCTTGCTCTTGCCACTATGGACCGCAAGGACTTACAGAAGAAAGTTTTGGACAACCAGAACTTCAGAACGTGCCTGGAGCTCGAGCCTCACATTCGCAAGGCATCTCGCTGTTCGTTAACGGCCGCTACTCGGCATGCCTGGCTATTCTGAACTCGTATCTGGCCGACTTCCTGCTGGACATCTTCCTGCAGAAGCACGTGAAGGTACTCTTCGCCCTCATCCGCAGCAAGTGCATTGTCCAGTATGTGGCGCCGTTCTCCTGTGTAGCCCTCGGCAGCCTCAATGAGGCATTCGCAGCGCGGGGAACAGATATACAGGTTGAGCTGGCCACGATGATCAAGAGCGGTCTGCTACAGGCGCGTATCAACACCATCGATCAGGTATGTGGTCTATTGACATGAATCTGTGACACGGCACATGGGACCCTGGACTAATGCAAGGTTCCCTTTCGGGCAGCTCCTTGTCGCCGTGAACCCCAACCAACGAGCGGCAATGCAGACGCAGGCACTGGAGACGACCAAGGCCTACGAGAGCGAGGCGCTCGAACGAATCAGGCGCATGGGCCTCCTGAGTGCGAACCTCGAGGTCAGGAACGTCAAGAAATTGCAAGCGACGGGCTCCCAGACGACGGCGGCGGATGGAGTCAGTGACGTTTGGTTTGACAACAGCGGCGAGCCGATGGCTATCGGGGCATTATGATGGCGTCCGGGCGCCACCCCTGGCCCTGGGCTGAGGGCTTGGAACGGGACGGTGGTGGCTGGTCAGGGTCACGATGTACACGCGGCTCTGGGAAGGGGGGCCGAAGTTGAGATGAGCGCTAAAAAGGATGCGATATGCTTTTGAAGGGGGCGACGCGGCCTGCCCAGTGCGCAGAGCCAAAGGGGGGCGCCAGCACCCGAGGCCACCGTCGTGGCGCCAGACTTCTTAACAGGAACAAGCTTAGGACAGCCGCATAAGACCCTGGTCTGCCTTGCCCCAGATCGCTTAGCCTCAATGTATCTATCATGAGCATACGCGGCCTCTTGTCCCCTCTTCCGACTCATTACACTCATTATGGAACGCCCTTTACTGACCACGTGTACGTCATGGTTCGCTTGCGCTAGAGAGGCAGTGGACCCAAGGCCGACACAGGGCTTCGGCTCTAGTGTGTTTTTGTTTTTTTCGATCTGGCATTCGAGTGCAGAGAAGGGGGATTACGTGGACCGGCGACGGCCATGGCAGCACGAGTTTCATCCCTACCTTACCTTATCTGTTGAGCAGCCCCCCCCCCCCCCCTTCCCCTAAATGCTGTGATCGAACCCCAGGTCGTTCGAGCTGGACATCGCTGCAGGGGCAACAATCGACCTACCATGTACTCACCTCAGGCTCGAGCTGGATGGTGCCGCCCCGCCCCCCCATCATCGTTCGTCGGACGTTCCGGTTCCATCGTTTTGAGGCTTACGCACCCCCCTGTCGCGGATCCCAAGTCGTCCTTTTGATTTTGGCCACCAGTCATCTGCGACACAGCGGATGGGACACCTGAGGGGCCGCCCGGTTCCCCATCAGAAGAGCCCCGACAAAGGGTGGAGGAGGAGCCCACAGCGCGCGCCGACGGAGGAAATACTCTACATATACTGTACTCGTGTCGAATCAACCAGGCGGCGGGTATAAGGCGGAACTGCACCGTGTCCGCGTGCTAGTAGTGCTTGTTTTTGCCCTACAGCCTGGGCCTTTCCTTCTTCTTCTTCTTCTTCTTCTTATCTTGGTCCGATACTGGGCTGCAGGTGAACACTTTGGATGTGAAATGTGCGTAGCCTTCTGCCCTGGGAAGCCATGTTAGACTGTGCGAAGCAAAGTTGTCACGCGCGAGGTCTTCGGGAACGGGAGCATAGCCCGGTGAGCCACGCTTCGTTGCGTGATTTGCTATGGAGTCTGCTTGTCTTGCGTATGGTTTACGGGCCTTCTTGCTATACAGCCCCAGTCCTGTCGCTCCTTCGCCCGCTCCCTCCTCTCGTGGGTGGCATCGCGTGTGTCGTGTTTAAGGTGTACATGGCGTCCGCTCACCCAGTGTGCATCGATACTGGATGCACAAGTTAAGCTTACCAAGGTGCATTGTGCCATTGCGCCTTGCAACCTTGGCTTGGGAAACATGTTACTCACGAGCTTATTAGCCCTCAGCAGGCGGACGAGCTAAAAAGGACCTTGACGACGGATGGACAGCACCGAGGTGCACTGGCGGCGCCCGATGCGCTATTTCTGGGCACTGATAGCGTGCTAACGTACGTTGGGGCGAGGACCTCCTGCCCCCAACGGCGCAGGTCGTGGATTTCACCGCCGCCCGATGACTTGCCGCATGGGGGGTGGATTTCTGGCGCGGGATGCCCTCTCCCCCCCCCCCAAAAAAAAAAACAGGGCCTCCATGTACAGGTACTCCAACGCAGCGATTGCAACCATCGCTTGTGTCACGCACACACATGCAACCCCCGCCGCCCCGCCCCAAATCTCCAACGTTGCATGCATGGTTCGTAGTGCCGTGTAAGGATTTCTACTTGAGGAGAACAAGAAAGAAAAAAAAAAGAAGAATCAGAAAAAGATCATCGAGGAGGGCGTCAAAGTGGTCAAGGGGGGTATGTGTTCTACAGTACTGTATCAGCTGAACCATTACTCCCGTCTTGGGTTCGTTGGCCGCCGCTCCGACTGATCTCCCAGCCCAAACCAGACCAGAGCTTGGAATCGGGGTGGTGGGAGTATGCACGACCGCTCACACAGGTGTCATGATGCGTGCTCCATGACAGGATCCGTCCGTCACCGCCCGCCCGTTCACCGTTCTTGTCTTGTCATCAGCCCTCCCTAGTTCAGCCCACACAGTCTCCGTATTGATGGGTAGGGATCATGCTTCTACAGTACGTTGTCGCTTGAAGGACCCTTGTACCGCAAGTCGACACCCCCCCCCCTTACCCTTCCTAGGTACGCTACCTCTCGTACCCCCATTTTCTTTCAGCCTCTTCGACCCCCAGACGAGGTAGAAGGAAGGGCAGACACTCCGCCCCCTGTGATTCCCCGAATCCGACCCTCGGCTCCCAGGAACAAGCCCACCGATGGCGTCGGGGTTCTACTGAAGCGCGCTAGCGGGTAGGCATCGTGAGCGCCTGATCATCCATCCGAGATTTGGGTTTGCGTATGCCCCCCCCTCCATCAGAAACAAGGGGATCGGGGACGGGGGGGAGCGGGGAATCCCACCAACCCAATGACGCGGAAGAGGCCAGAATTAGCCCATCAACTGCCTAATGTCCTCCGGCGGCCACCGCACCTGCGCAAACGTCAGGCAGCGCTTGATGCTCTGCAGAAACTTGCGCGTCACCTCATCACCCATGACATGCCCTCGCTCGCCGTTGTGCAGCTTCTCGCGCGCGCTGCGCTCGTGAATGCCCACCATTGTCACGCCGATAGGCCACGCCGCCTTGCCGATAGACAGCCGCAGGTATCCGTCGTTGGCGTCGACGTACCGCCTTTCTTGTGCCGCCTGCACAATCTCTATGATGGGCGCCAGGAGGTCGTCGTCGACGTCGCCCTTTTCGAACCGTCGGAAGAGCTACAAACCCGTCAGTCAGACTGTGTGATGCGTCTCGCCGTGCATGTGTATGAGGAGAAGGAGCACGTACCGGTTTCATGTTCTCGCGACTCTGCACCATTGTGGCGTACGCCGCCTTGCTCGCCGTTGTATCGCTCCTCTCCGCCTCCATGGCCCGCTGATACTCCGTCAAAACCATTGTGAAGTAGCTCGCCAGCTGCCTAAACACCCATTTTCGCGCCTCCTTGTCCTTGGGTGCCCCACCTTGCACCTTCATGTCCTTCTCCTCGACGAGCTCCAGCGTCGTCGGCACGGGG